GCGCGGCTTCGATGGAGCACCGGCGATGGCCCTCGGCGCCGGTGGGACGGTGCGGCTTCCACGGCACCACTTCCCTGGACCCTTACCCGGACCGCTTGCCTTGCCCTTCGCGAGTTTTTGTCGATACGCCGGGGTATTGCTATGAAATCGGTGATGGGGAGCTGCTTCAAAAGCTCGTTGAGGGCCTCCCGTGGAAAATGCGGCTCGTTGGCATGGACGCGATCTCGCTCGACGAGGTGAAGGCTCTTGTCTCAGTGCCCTCGAATCGATGCTGTCAATGCGTGGTGGTAATCCCGGCAACTGACCTCGTGGAGGATGTCGGGTGGGTTCAGAATTTACTTTGGCAGAGACAATATATACCCGCAAGGGATGTGGAAGGGGTCGTCTCGCACTTAAAGAAGTTTGTCACATACCTGCAAGCACTCCCAGGCAATATTGCGGCCTTTATCGTGATTAGCAAAATGGATAAGGTCGGAGGGTGTGAGAATCGCCACACGCGAAGGGTGATTCTCGATGTTTTAGAGACCTGCATCCCGATTAATCACATTTTCTTCTCCGAGTTCCCGGTTGAAAGGGGGTCAGTGCGATCCAAGTCCAATTACTTGCCTGATAACAGTACAAGGGAAAGCCTCAGACAATTACATGAGGAACTATACACCTGCCTGGACTGGATGGCGTATATTAAATCAAAGTAACATCACTTCTTCTTTGTATATATTTTTTGGAGTAATGCTTGCAAAACCAACTTCAATTCCTAATTTAATTGACAATCTTTGCTACTTCAGACGTCACCGTTTAAGAATATCAATAAAGCTGCTTTGGGGAGGATATAAAAAAGTTCACGATATATTAATCCTGATCGGCTGTTTTCTTAGCCTTTGGTACGTCTTGTTCGCCGTTCACCATTTTTAATTTTCACATACATTACAAACCTGAAATTTATGTTAGATTCATTGTAGTTGAATAATCTAGCTCACACATATGGTTCACTACAGTATCGGTTGTAATAGCGTCTTCAAAAAAAAAGAACATCTAGAAAAAAGAAAACAAGGAAACAACGTGGAATAAGCAAAGGTGGGTATTTTCAAACTTTTTCCCCTTTTTCACCGAAAATCTCACTCTCCTGAACATGTCGTCAAGTAATGGCGAGGAGGAAATAGATCGATTTCTGTTTGATTTTTCCCGTACTGGGGATGTCATTCTTATGGATCGTAATTGCCTTGGTATGAAGTCATCTATATGCGCCGGACTTTGCTTGCTTTCAAAGATTGAGAACCGATTTGATCATGTTGGGATGATAGTGAAGCTCAACGACGCGGATTTGGAGGATCTTCCAGAAATGCAGCGTCAAATTACATATTCTTCTCCATCGGGAACTTACATTTTAGAGGCAAACCTAAATGGCATTATGCTTTACTCTGCAGAGAAACGAGTCCTGCAATCCACCACAGGTGAAATCGCTTTAAGGCCACTTTTAATGAACGAAAAGGCAGCTGAGCAAGCTGAAAGGGGCCTTCTGCAGCATCTTGAAGCCCTTCTCGGTATTCCTTATAGAACTAACGTTATGGATCTTATTCCTTCGATGCTTTCGCCACCAGACAAGCTTGATCGTATCGACGCGGCGCAAAAAATCACGTTGCTCCAGCGCGAAATTGACGCCTTTGAGGTGCTTTCAAATCGTACAAATAACACCGTTCAGCAAACTCGCTATCACGAAATTATATCTGCTTATAAAAGATCCCAGCTTTTTTTATTAAACCACTACTTCTCACATCTTAAACGAGAAGATGCCAATAATCCTCTTTCGGTGAATTGGAAAGAGGGACATTTTTGGGTGGATGGGCATAATTTCTCTAATAAAATGGTTTGTTCGGAGCTGATTAGCGATTTATGGTGCCGTGCGGCTATTACGTGCGGATTTCCCCCGTCCTCCTCCTTACGCCCATTTGATTTCCTCGACGACGACCGCTTTAACTTCATCGACGACGAAACCAACCTCGGTAGGCTCCGCTTAATTAAACAAAAAAACAAGGACACTAAGGAAAATAATTTAGAGACGGAAAGTAAAACGTCAACACCGTCGTTTACAGGTGAAAAGGGT